TATTAAAGACATTTCCTTCACACTTCTAAAACCATTTACATATTGAAAAATGTAGATGTTTTGCAAAAGTGATTTTTAAAAAAAAAGTTTTTAAATAATAAGATTAATTTTAAATTACTGAATAATTTTTCAAGAATTGCTAAATTTCCATATGGTTAAGGATTACGAGTGGTGGGAATAACAATAGCAACCATCAAATCTGAGGTGAAGTGTATGTTCGAAGAGAGAGTTTGAGTTCTGAGGTGAAGTAAAAAAAATTACAAACTTAGAGTGATACATTTGTCTAACACGAATTTGTTGACTACTCATGTGGTTTCTTAGAAAGCTCTTCTTTGTGAAGCTCCTCAGCAGTATCAAAACTACAAACATTGCATCACTAGAATAAACATACTTTGTGAAATGTCCTGAAGGCAGGATTCTTGTTACTAGCTGTCAAAGGCAAAAAAGAAAAATCATCAAGGTTGCAGTACAGAGGTGAATACAGAGCCAGCCGCGAGGGTCATGTTCTAAACAAACCTTCATTAAGCATTCTTTGTTACTGTTGTTAGCCAGTGTATTATTAAATACAACATTAATTAAAGAGTTGCATGTTATGAGGGTGCTTTTTGCATGAAGATCAGATTACATTTTCATGTGCTTCAGGAATGTACTGCTGTCTTATTTCATCTTTTGGGTGTATTCTCTTGGTAGTTATTAAAAAAGCAGAGCCCAACAACCTAAAACTGATTCTAAATTTGTATTTTGTGTGTATGTTTTTATTATCTGCATATATCTGTGAGATACATATTCTAGTGCCTCTTTTCTCAAGTAGCTTTAAAAACTTTGACTACAATTAAAATGAAGTAGGAATTGCTTGGCTTTCTTCGCTGCAATCGTTTAAATTAGAGACCTCTTCTTACGGTCTAATAAACAGATCCTAAAAGAACATGTTTTTCAACTTAAAAGGGTGTAAATTTAAGCAAAATAATAATTTAGCTTACATTAACTCAGCAGGAAGCAGGGTACAAACTGATTAATTCTCTATGGCAGATCCACTGCTTTTTTAAGTACCACAGCTCCATTTCATTAAATTGTCAGGATATCTTGTGGTTTGTGTAGCCTGCCTGGACTTCTCCTTTCTCATGGAATTTCTTTTCACTTGAATTAATGAATTTCAGATGTAAATTTCCTGTTGTTTGCTTATGTTGAGGTTATTGATAAACATACACTCCAAATATCTTTAAAGTAATTAAATATTGCTTATACGGTAAAATATGCTTTTTTTAAAAAAAAAAACAACCAAATGCAGGGCTGTCAAGTTAGAAGTTGTGGAAGTGTTTTTTTCTTTTCAAATATTCTGCTGTGTTTTAGTATTTTTTGTGTGGAAGATTCCTCTTTCAAAGCAGTTCAGTAAGCACATGTGTATTAAGAAGTATGGACTAAAATGTTTTTCTGTCTTTAAGCAGATTATGTAGAAGGAATGCAGTTAGAAGAGAGCACCTAGAGTGCAACTTGAGAGCCATTAAACCACTTGAGCAGCTAAGTGAACTGTTCACTGATACCACTGTTTACTTTAGTCTTCAAAAGTGTTCACCCATTTGTTAATTAAATTACAAAATAAATAAAGGGCAGATGATAAATATTCATGTATAGCCCTTGAAGAGGGGTTGGAATATTGGTCATTTCAAGACAAAACTAGGTGGGTTTTTTGTGTGTGTGTTTGTACAGACGTCTTGAAAAAGTAGTCTGTCCATGATTCCTGTTGGGGAATCATTTAGGAGAAAGATTCTTCAAAGAAATGTCTGTGAAAGAAATATATAGATCCTTATGAAGCCATAGTGTTTTGCAATTGCTTTTAAATTACCTGTCCTGTGTCTGGCTATAGTTTGCAAGGTGAAGACAGAGGTACAGCTGTGCTCATGGATAAACGGGTACTTAGCCATCATTCAATATTTATATCTTCTTGTGATTAGCTTTTGTCCAAAGTCGCTAGCTCTCTTCAGAGGAGCTTGGAAGTGCTGGTCATACTGTTCTAATGTTTTTTCTCCAGGCAGCACATCAGCTGCATAACTCCATAGATGATCAAAAATCTGTTCAGTTTTCTGCTGAAGAGACTCTGAGTACCTAGTAGAAGCCAAATGCAATCTAAAGTGTTGTCCTAAGAGGAGGAGAGGGAGTCAGTGATAAGGGAAGTGTGTGCTGGGTCTCTAAGGGCACCTGCTAGAACGGTCTCCTTTTCTGCAGGTTTAGTTTGAAGAGTGTGTATGTAAGTGAACGAAGGCTTCTGTTCTTTCCTGAAGTGTCTAATGAGTGTACTTACACTATCAGCTCTGATTCTTAGAGCAGTCTGCTTATCCAGTTTATTCCTTGCAGAAAGGAGGACTCTCTTTGAAACCTGAACTGTTGGGTGGATGACCTGTTTTAGGCATGTTGGTATTCTCTGCGTGCTGTCCTTGAACTCTTCTGCAGTAGTTTTAGGTGCCTGCCTTCCAGTTAATGCACCTTCTAGATAAGACTATGATCTTAATAGATTTTAGACCTAGTAACAGGCACTTTCTCTCGTAACGGTCGCTTACTGTTACAATTAAATAAGATAGAATTTATTAGAATTGTACAGAAGATTCTTTTTATGGTCTGTTTAAGAAAGCAACTCGGATGTTAGTGTTTTTAAAACTTACATTGGTTGATCTGAAACATAAGGTTTTGTTTTGGCTTCAACTTCTGAGTCCATGCAGATGTCATGGTTTAACCCCAGCCAGCAACTAAGCACCACGCAGCTGCTCACTCACTTCCCCCCCACTCAGTGGGATGGGGGAGACAATTGGGAAAAAAAGTAAAACTTGTGGGTTGAGATAAGAAGAGTTTAGTAGAACAGAAAGGAAGAAAATAATGATAATAATAACAATAGTAAAATGACAATAATAATAATAGAAGAATTAGAATATACAAAACAAGTGATGCACAATGCAGTTGCTCACCACTTGCCGACCGATGCCCAGTTAGTTCCCAAGCAGTGATCTGCCCCTCCGGCCAATTCCCCCCAGTTTACATATTGGACATGATGTCACATGGTGTGGAATATCCCTTTGGCCAGTTTGGGTCAGCTGTCCTGACTGTGTCCCCTCCAACTTCTTGTGCCCCTCCAGCCTTCTTGCTGGCTGGGCATGAGAAGCTGAGAAGCTTGACTTTAGACTAAATATTACTTAGCAACAACTGAAAACATCAGTGTGTTATCAACTTTCTTCTCATACTGAATCCAAGACATAACACTATACCAGCTACTAGGAAGCTACTACTCTATCCTAGCTAAAACCAGGACAGCAGATTTCATCAAATTTGCAATGTCAGTAGGGATGTTCCTAGCTGAACTAGCACCAGAGATCTGAGACAGAAAGCTCTGAGTCAATACAAATATAACTAGTGCTATATCTACTCTATTAATTTTGTGGTCAAATTAAGTAACACTTTGATTTTTTCAGTTTTCTTTCTACTTATATGAAAATGTGTAGATAACAAAATCAAGCTGGTACCCTGCTGTCTAGAAGCAGGACTAAATAGGAAGAGTTGTGCTACTGAGGGCCAGGAAATGTAAGTCAGCACGAATAGCCTGGTGTTCATGTTTCTCACTGTCTCCTGTTCTCCATCTCCTACTCCCTACCCCGCTTCTCTGCTTAAATACATGTTGAAAATCAGAAATGTTAATGGCTGCAGTTAGATTTTTAAGCCATGGGCATCATCAAAATCTGTACAAGTTGTGTTCAAGTTCAGCAAGGCCATATTAAAAATTCCTGTGTTGGAACTCAGTGACAATTAATTGATTGCTGTGATGGAAAGGTGAAGATGTGATTAATGAATTTTTAGATTAGCCTTTAATGGAGTAATCTCCATGTCAGATGGATGTAAACTTCTTTCTGACCTTTGAATTGTCTAAAAGCTACGTAGCTACAGCTAAAAGGGTGCTGAGATGGTAAATGGCACTGAAGGTCTGGGCTTAGACCAGGACCAGTGCAGCACCTGGACTGGACTGCAAATGATGAGAAGTCCTAGGCACAGTTGGAAATTCTGCATTGTTAATACACTTTTTTTCTTAAAATGTTCACTTGTATAATGATGAAACATGACTTATTTAAAGTCTTAATAAGTACTTGTACGTACATTATTTACTCTGCAGAGTTGATGGAAATCAAAGACAGAAAAGTTGGGCAGATCTAAACTCACTTGTACTTGACTGAGTAATTGCACTTTTAAGAAAGAAAATGTTGCTGAGATTTTGATGTGGCATTGTAAAGTATAATGATATTAAAGACATTTTTCACCCTTAAATAGTGAATAAGTGGCATTAATTAAGCTACCATGTCTTTGCTGACCTGTTCTGTATGTTTCTGGTCCTGAATACCTCATGGCTTGCAGAATCTTCTGCTCAGACTGGTGTAGGGGGAAGGTAGAGGTCGTGGGTTTATTGGTGGACTTGCCTCTTAGATGGTAATTGGCTTCTACTTTTTTATTTCTTTTGCTTTCAGATATATTTGTTAAGTATGTTTTTGTAGGTTCTCCTATTGCTCCCTGTCTTCTTGTATTTGCTTAGTGTATGTTTTGAGGAAATTAATGGCTTTTGCTTTGGCTCAGCAGGATAAATGTTCTACCTTGTGGTAGTTTAGTTTTCATTTTGTTATTAAAAGTCAAGCTGTAGTGCTTATTTTTGCCTGGAGCAAATTTTGATCTGTTTATAGGTGTAAAGATATAGGATTTTGAAGAATATAGTGTGATAAAATTTAGAATTATAGAGTATTACTATACAGTGCTTGTAGCTTCTTATTCCAGAGGCATCATTGTATAGTCCAGGCTTACCATTGCAATTCCATTTTCTCTTGTTCTGGAGGAAGTTAAGGTTTCCTTGGTAAATTGAAAGCATCTGAAAAGATTTTGGTGTAATTAATGTTAGACACTGATAATATGTTATGGTTTTTATATCAAAGGTTTTTTTCTGCAGTCCTAATGAACATTTTTTTTCTCTCCTTTAGGAGAATATATAAAAAACTGGCGGCCAAGATATTTCCTGCTAAAGACAGATGGCTCTTTCATAGGCTATAAGGAGAAGCCCCAGGATGTGGATCTGCCATATCCACTCAACAACTTTTCAGTGGCAAGTAAGTATTTCCAGTATTTATTATTCTCTCAGCATATTGACAAAATATCTGCTACATATTGCTTCATGTGTAGTTAAGAATTTATTGGTAACACTCTAAGTTTGATACCATGTGTCAGACTAGTGCACCACTAATCTTATGTCCAGCTCTACAAGATACTTTTACAAGAGCATTGTAGATTTTCCCTTGGGTTGGTTTTTGAATATTTTTGGAACTCCTAAGTTCTCATTTGTGTGTGTGTGTGTGTGTGTGTGTGAAGTGTCTGTAACTAACGATAAGATTTGACAAATGATTGTTCTAAGAAGAAGATTTCTGGAAAGCTTACCTTTTATTCAGATCATTGACCTCTTTTCTCTTTTTCAGTAGTATCTCTGAATTCACTTGAAACCTCAAATTAATTAGAAAATTATCTAGACTGTCAAATGACACAAAATCATGCTAAATTATTTTTCTCTTGGATAATCAGGTAATCAGCTCTCCAGCCTGGTTAATCAGTAATTTCGAGCAATCAGACAATTTGCATATATTAGCAAAGCTACAAAGTGTGTATCTGTTGGGTAAAGTGAAGACATTTTGATTTCTTGTTTTCCAAGAATGTTTCTAAAAGACAAATCTGAAGGATTTTTTTAATCTGGCAAAGTAAGATTGGTAGAAGAGTGTTTCTGAACATAAATGAAAGTATTTGAGGAGCAAAACTAAGGGGGCAAAAAATCTCCCCGAGTATGAGCTGTGGATCATAGCTAGAAACTTTCAAAGGAACACTAGAAAATTTACCCAATTTCTTTCAAAATCGTATCAGTGTACTGCAATACAATAAATGGCGGTGTTTAGTTTTGTAGAGGAATATTGCAGCCACAAGAGCATGTGTACTTAGGGAAAGGGTTCCCTTCATCTGCATTGCTGAAGATGGAACAATTGCTACTGAGACCGAATTTACCTATTTTCTTCATAAAATTGTTCTTGAGACTGACAGCCTTTGTATACAAAGTCATCTGGGTGTTTTATTTGGTAAGAAAATAATCTCATGCTCCAAGCCCATGTCTTGTCACACAACTAGAGGAGGAAAACTTTGCATATTCTGATTGTGACAGAAGTCTTGCAAATGATATTGAGCGTGCCAGCCTTCTAATAAAATCAGAGGCTCATTTTGCCTTGTTGCTATTCAGCATAAAAAGCAGTGATGTCTTTAAGTTGTTCATATGTGTAGGAACTGACTAGATCATAGGCTGTTATTCCTTAGTTATTACTCTGAATATCCTAACTTACTCGTTTATAGCAGTTGGTAGTTTCGTGGATACTTTTTCCCCAATGCGCAGCAGAAAGAACATTTGTAGAAATACAGTATAGTTTTTAGTCCTGCTTTACCATGTTCTTCACTGCATATCCTGTCTTCCTTTGCTGCAGCAACAAGGATGATCTAAACGGTAGTTCTGCTAAGCGAAGAAATGCATAATTAGCAATTAATTCCAGTGTGTTGATACTGTTGCGGGTTTTTTTGTGTTTTGTTTTGATACCGAGAGGTCATCTTATGTAATTCTGATACTAGAATGCCGCCCCTGAACTTTGCCTTCATGGAAATTGGAAGATTTCTTATTGTTTTCCAAAATGACACCATCACCACCACTGCCTGCCCCCAACCTCAAAAAAAAAAAAAAAGAAAAGAAAAGAAAATCCTTTCTGCAAGTAACAAGCCCCATGGGTCTGATTCTTAGGCAATGTAAGCTAAAGGAACAGGCATGCAATATTAATTGAAGAAATACAGTTTTGGTAAGCAAGATGAGTTTTTCTGTTTTCTGGCAGGAAAAGGAGTAGTAATTTAATCAGAAATGATTGCTGATCAGTGCAAGAATAGGGAGATTTTTCACTCATAAAATGAAACCCATGAAACGAAGTGAAGTACCTGTGTAGAATCACAGGATGAAAAGCAAAACAGTGTGGTATTACACTCTTAACTGCAAGGGACTGTAAGTTTTTTGTCAGCTATTTTATCTGTCTGAAGATGAGATCATCAGTAGAGCAAACAAACAAACAAACAAAATTGCTGTATGAATGAATCAGGTCTCATGGGCAGTACCTGGTAAATGTCAAGAACTGGTCTCACGGCCTCTCATCCAAGAGTTCCTGAGCTGCTGCAGTAGGTTTGTGGCCACAAGCAGTGCAACATATTTTTCCTGTAGTAGTGAAGTACGTTTTTCATAAATTACTAGCCAGGCAGATGGAGTGTGAGATCACTGTTAATACCATCTTGATTAGGTTGGCAGGGACTTAAAGATATGTCTTTACAGTCCTATCTTCATGTAATCTTTGTAGCTATCTGTAAAGTGAGAGTGTGGTCTCAGTCTACTTTTTGTTCTCCAAATGATAGACATCTTTGGCTCTTGCTTATGGCTTGTTATTTAAGCAGAAAAGGCCAAGGCTGTGGTATTATTTTTGTACTACTGTTGGAGTTGAACACCAGAAAGTTAGCACAGCTCTGCTTTGTATGATACTTGTTCTGTAGTTTAAAACTTTTATATCCAGCTCTGTCAAACTAGTTACTTCCATCATATGGATATTTTCCCACCAGCGTCCACTGCCTTCCACTCCTGTGACACCAGCTTTACTTTTGCAAAAGACTCTTTCCCAGGCATATTATCATTTTCCCTAGAGTGGCTCCCTGATTTCTTCCAAGATAACTTTAAAGTCCCACACCTGAGCAGTTCTCTCTCCCTGGTCTTGTGTCATCGGCGTACTCCATCGGGAATGACAGGAACACCGGAGAGAGTGAAGTTATTTTACATACTGCTAACAGTGCTTCCAGTGCTAAATGTCTTTGTTAATAAAGCCTTTCTCATTGGGTGGTGTTTTGTCACAGGATGGAGTGCCCAGAGGCCACCCCTTTTCCTTGGGGTGATCTGGGAGGAAATGTGGGGGGAAGGCATTGGGAAGCGGGTGTGTAAACAGGTAGATGCTTTACGTAGAGAGGAAGAGCCTGAGGCAGCGTGCACTCGCATACATCAGCCCATTGCCAGCTCCCAAAATGCAGGAGAACCACGTGGGCCTGAAATGGAGGTGAGGGACCTCTCTTCCTTGGAGCACAAGTATGTCCCTGAAGGTGAAACAGCCCGAAGGGTATGACAGAGGGGGGCTGGATGGAGCCGAGCCCCAAGGAAGGATACAGGACTGGCCCCTTGGTGTCCTGGACAGGGGCTTCATTTTGCCCCCCGTGGCCGCTGCTCCCCTGCCTTTGGGCACGTGGGAAAGGCGGCAGTGAGCACCCCGCTCGGCATCTGCAAAGCTGCCGCGAGGCTGCCGGGGTGAACAAATCACCCGGATCTGGTGACACTGGGTAGTGTGTAGCAATCACTCTGGTCTCTTTCCTGTGGAGCCAGCTTATTTTACACCAAACAGAGCTGCCTTTTTTTAACCTGGGAGTAGAAAGAGCTGTGTATTTGAAGTATGCCTTTACTTCCTTAATGCTCACGCCCTGACATGTATACTCACAAAAAGTTGTGCCATGGTATCTTAACCATACGCTTAAAGATAAAGGAAGGCCGTGTAGTTACATTGGTGGGAAATTCATTGCGGAAACTTAAACCTGGTTGATACTGGTTTTCAGAGGTAAATTCAGAAATGTGAACTTACTTGAATCGGCTGGTTCAAAATCAGTTCAGCTCTTTTCAGGTAGAGACAAGCAGTTGCAAGTAATCAAGCTATTGTAGCTTAAAGAGATACTCTTGATTGACTGAGTCACGGTAACTGAGTGGGTGTGCATTCCTAGCCCACTTCAACTGCAAAATAAAATATGTTAATGTAAATTGCTTTTGCTTAGGCATTTATGCAGTCAGAACCAGTTTAAAAATAATTTGGGTTCGATTGATATAACTTCTGTGTACAGGCAGAGGCCTGAAAAAAATGTCCTGGCTTTTAAAACTCCATTATGCTTCTTTGGAACAAAACTAGTACTCTGGGTGACAGGATGTATACCCTCAGTGCCTCCCCCCCCGCCAGTCAACATAGCCTCACAATGCTGTTTTTAACTGGTTCAGTGTTGCATAAGTAGAATCAACATTGCTTTGTGTAAACCACTGTGGTCTTTGATCATCGTCATTATTAGGGAAAACAGAGTGGGGAAGAATTCTACTTCAGTTCTACTTAAGGAGCATTTGTGGCTTTACAGATAAGAAAATACTTCTCACATATGCAATGAGTATGTAGGTAATCACATAGCACATTTGGGATGAGGTATCTCTAAGAATTGGCCCTCTGCCTTCATTTTGATCTTTACATGGGGAATAATTGGGAAGAGCTGTATCCTTTCACAGTAGCCTTTGAGCTTTGGCCAAAAATGATGTCACCTGGAATTTCTTTCCTATCTTGAAAGATAGTGCTTTCTAAGCACTCTGTGGTACAGCTACCCTTTTCTTGTCTTTGAAAAGAAAAAGCAAATTTTAGTTATTGTGAGAAGGTAACCTTTTATAACCTTTCCTTTATTTTATTTTTTTTTTCTCTGCAGAAATGATTATCGATGAACCTTGGCTATTCTAAATGGAGAAGCTGTGCTACTTTTTCCTAGTCTTAATCTTTCAGTGGGCCAGAGACAAGGTTTTATTATTTTTGGGATTTAAAAATCTTCAAAATCTGAAAATTAAAAGGTTTCAGGGGAGTGATGTTAGGGCTATAAAGAATTCTGAAGACACTCTCTAAATAAATGGGTGGGAAAATAATATATGTATGTTTTAAGTGAGATTAAATTATGCATCAAAATACTTTGGCATTAGACATGACCTTGTGTGCAACTCCACAATTAACTTTTCAGTGAAATTTAAGTTTAAAGTCCCAGTTTTTTAAATTGTCACAACACTGGATGTCATGAACCCAGAGAGAATATGTAACTGTAGATACTTACAATTACAATATAGATTTAATTCTAAAATAATAATGATGCAATTAAATAAGTAATGTTCATTCAACACTGAAGATACTTGTGGGGATAAAAAGGCAATGTATGTGCAATGTAC